ATTGATTGGACCAGAGATGTGAGAGAGAGAGATTTGGGATGCCCGTGGGACCAAACGATCAGTCTTTTTGTTTCGAGTCGTCTTGCATCTTTAGAGGAGAGTTCCATACGAGGAAAAGAGGTTGGAGAGCGACTTTCACGGCAAGAGAAAAAGGGGAAAAAAACAGAAAGGAGGAGGAAGCGGAGCACGAAATATGGCACAGATGATGATATAATGGGTTGAACAAGGGGCTGTAAAAGGTCGGGCCGAACCGGATTCAAAGGGTGGCCTTTATCCTTAAACGTCTATTGGCGGAACGAGTCTTGACTATCATGAGACGCAGGGTCGAGGTGAGCCGGGTACATGTTGATCCCTGAAGCGGGCACCTGTGAGGTAGGCGTCATGTATGCGGATGAAGCCGGAGCTGGAGTCGACGAAGTGCCAGGATAAGCATGGTGCGAATACGAGGAAGCCGTCGGCTGCCTGTGAGCACCATACAGAGGGTCACTGCTCATCGTCTGAGGCCGGGAATCCGTCACAGGAGTCGCGTTGGATGCAGCCTGGGAGGAAGGAGACGAGTTGGCTCCGGTGTTGGACGAAATTCCGCCTGGGGTGATGATCGGGGTGAGCGGCACCGGCCTCCTGTTGACGATAGAAGTCGATCCATAATTGTCATTCCAGGGCGGGAGACCCGTATGATAGCTCGATTGGTGGCCTGCCGTCACATCTGGGTGGCCGTACGAGTCTCCTGGACGCGAAAAGGAGGCACGGTGCGGGATGGTGTAGTATGGCGTAGAATGGGCCGGAGAAATTTCTGGTCTTGGCGTCTGGGACATGAACGAGGGCATCGGTGCCGGCACGGTAATATAGTCCCTGTTCACCTGGTGTCGGTCGGTTGCCAGTGCGGAAGAACCATGTTCGTAGGGCGTGAGACCAGCAGGTTGCTCCAACAGCTTGTGCTGGTCGTAAAGCGGATGAGGCTTGTACTTGCTCACGTCGGGATAGGGGATTTGATCGTATCCCGACTTTTCAAACGCGGGCACTGCCGTGGAAGAGGGGGGCGCAGCGGTGGGCGTGATGACGCCGCCGCTGATGGCCTGATTGGGCTTTCCGACACTAGATCCACCGTCAGAGACCGCGTCCTGCTGCTGCTGCTGTTGCTGCTGCTGAGTAGGTTGGGGTTGAACGAGATGGTGGGACTGGTCGAGGGCATACGGCAGATGATGGGAGGGAGCGGAGGTAGAGGTTGAAGACCACGGTCCATCGCGAGGATATGCGCTCTCTGGGACAATGTGAATTTCTGGGTCGTTTTCGTCTGCGATGAGGGGCTTTGCAGTGTCGCACCCAGTGGGTCCGCGGCCGAGGAGATAGCGGTCAGACGGGCGCACACGAGCCATCTGACGTAGAATGATGTTTTCACGCTCGAGTAAGCTTACTCGTCGTTCCAAATCTGCGTCATGGAGGAATAGATAAATGTTGCAAGTCAGCTTCCGAGTCTAATAGGGTATAAAATTTCAAAAAATCAAATAGAGGCTAACCTAGAAGATGACCAGCTCGACGAGCTCGGAACTGACGTTGTACTTCTCGTTGGTGACTCTTTGGGAGGGTTTCGTCGACCTGGCGAGATCAAATACGGGGCGTGAGTGAGCGCTGGGCATTGGAGGCCTGCCGAGGATTGCCATTGCACAACGGCAAAAAGACGACAATCGGAGCAGGTGTGATATGAAAAACGCACCTTTCGTCCTCGCTTGTTACGAACAACAAGAGGAGGCATGAGCCCGTCTGTCGAAAGTGAAGCCATGGTTGAGTTCGAGAGAGAGAGGGGGCAGTAAGGGTAGGGGACAAACAAGCCAGTCGTTCACAGTGAAAGAAAAGGGAAAACCCATTGGTGTACACCCGCGCCTGAAACCTGACTACGCCACAGGGCACACCGCGACAAGCAGCATCTACAGTCGTGTTTTGTAAATGTTGTGAATATTCTGCTATTTTTTGGGAATATCTGCGACGATGCACATGACAGTGCGATGTTTACGCTCGCCCCAGTGTCCCAATCGGACCATCCACGTGCGCTCATTCGCTTGGATTCCCGAAGTCACCGTCAGCGTCCCCATTCAGGAATTATGAGAGGGCAGCCGAGCAGAAGACCAGAAGCAGCGAAATCCAGCTATTGACCACCAGCGAGTTTATCTCCAAAACAAAACATTATAGTGTAGTCATCATATACAGCATACTATAAGATATCGTCCAGTTGTGCACGACGCCCATCAGACGATTAGACAGACACGCGTATCATGTACAACCTAGAAGCAGCAAAAAAGGGAAGACACTCGAACATATATACAATACACTTTCGAAACGGCACCTGGGAAATAGAGCAAGAGAGAGAAAAACAACGTACCCCCTTCCATTATACCTTTGCAACCCATCCTCGTCCGGTTCTGTGGCTTTTTGTCGATCAAAACAAGCTTGATCCTGCCTTCCGTGCCGCGAATGCTCGAGCACCGGCGCCTTGGGCTCCCTGCCACCCCAGGAAGCGTTCAGAACCCAGTGCACCTCCACTGCCGCCCCCGCTGCTTCTCAACCCAGTACTATAGGACCCGTCGACAGATGACTTCACACCACTAGCACCAGACGGCGAGAATCCATACCCTCTCGTGGTCGCCCAGATCGAGATAAACAGCACACGCTTTTGCTTGCGGTTCACGAAAAACCAGTGGTTGCTCCACAGCAGCGAGCCGCGCAGACGGAGACGGTTTCGAGTCGGTGATCGAGAATGAGGCTGGCGAGAAGCTCGGCTCTTCTTCTCCCATTCATTCACACTTCTTGGGAACGATCCCACTTGACGTATTCCAGAGAACGCTGGGTGGTCCCCATTCGTTCTTCTACGAGCTGCAGCTGCTGCAGAAGATGGTCGCCCGATAGAGATCCCACCAGGATAGTAGAACGGGCGAGGTCGTCGTTCGTCACTATAATCCTCCTCCTCGCTCTCCGTCTCGTCACCATCCACAAAAATTTCGCCCCC